ACATTTTTAAAATAATAAAAAATTTAAAATTTTAAAATTAAAGTATTAAAAATTATTATTAAATAAATGCTTAATAAATATTAACTCAATCAACTACTCCGGGAAATTATATTGCAGGTGTAGCAGATGGCCTAATTATTTTGGGCTTTATATTCAGTCTAATAAGATTTGTTAATGGGCCAACTGTGGGTGTGTTACCATTTTATTGGTCCAAAGGCCTGTAATTTGGATTTCTATTTGCCTACTGGCAGACGTGAATTATTTATTGGCAGAATATTGAATTATTCTAGCTTTAGTAATTAATAACTTATTAAAGAAATTGAAGTACTATCAATTTTATTTGGTGCAAAATCCTGGGGAGTTAACCGATTAGAACAACAAAATTAAGATTTTACAAATTTACATATGGTTTATCAATCTCTTGCTCCTACATTATTACCAGCTTGAGATACAATTAGAAACATAATATCTTCCCAGTCAAATACCGTCGAGTTTTACAGCAAATATAATTAGAAACGTCTCAACCCCGTGAGTTCCCCCTTTAAATATCTTCCTAATCAAAAGCCATTGGGTTCTCTAGCTCCTTGATAAAGTCACTGCATCATACAAACCATTGCATCCACCACCACCCCTATTCGGTGCAATTTGGCAATAAAACACCAAACTTTTTAAATTAACTATTTAATTTCAGGGTGGATGCTAGAACAAAGTGTCATTATCTGTTGCACAATGGCACTTATGAAAAGCTAGGAATAAGAGATATGTTGAGCAATTGTTGGTTGATCCCCGACAGGTACTTAATTGAATTAATTTGATGATCTAGGAGCATTGTAATGCCCCATGTGTGGATTTATTTGATCCCACTACTTGTCTAGTGTAAAGACGGTCACACCAATGGTCTATCTGTTCTCATGCCTCCTTTGGTTTTTTAAAGGTTAATGTAGATAATTCTTTTCAACTTGCTAGTGGAGTATCTACTTTAGCCATGGTGGGGTGGAATTTATGCTTTGTGGGTTGGGCAAACTTGGCCTATTTGGGCTTTGTCTCCATGATGGTTGATCTTTTGCTTTATTAAAGACTATTCGCATTAAGAAATTCTTCTATACAATAGGTTAGCAAGTCAACAATATCTCAGTTTAATAATGTAGCAATAACTATATTTGTAATTAAAATAATTAATTCATTTTAATTTACTAATCAATTTATGACAAATAAAAGACAATAATTGCCACTACATTACTAAATGGTTGATGTAGTATTCTCACATTCTTAAATCTTATAACAAATCTTATCATGAAGGCCTAATATGATATGTTATCCAAAGTGACAAAACTCTTCACATGGGAGGCATAAAATTTTGTGTAGCTATTATGTTGTTTTATTTTTTTCTCTTTTTTGAATTTTTAATTAGAGTTTCTTTTGCAATCATGGCTTCTTTCGTTCTCCCTGAGTTTCTAATGGAGACATAGAAGCATGATTGCAAGGACACTAGACCATATTTTTAACAGCATTCTAGTTTAGCATTCGAGTACCGATCTTCAAGCAATCTCAGACAAATTCCAATACTCAAGCACACATTGCTTGACTTTTCATTTCCATGCAAACATTAGCTACTATCCTTAGCACTATTTTGAAAATTGGACTCAATTACACCTAATAGTATAAATTTTGGGTGAGTATCTAAAACTGTTTAAGAGATGGAACCACTTAAAACTACTCAAACTATCCAAATCAATGAGAACTGATAACTCGTCCAACCGACCAAGCCAACCTCTTGGACAAAATTCTTCAAGCTTTTTCTCTTCTAGGTTTCGAACACTAGACCTCACAAGAGGTTGGCAAGTCATTTGCCACTAGAGCATCTTAGTGAAGCAAGTTGCAAACAATATATTTTAAAGAATATTACAAAGATTTTAAAGGAAAAACTCAAGTGACTTTCATAGGATTCGAACAGTGATGCTCTTGAATGCTTTAAATGATTTCTACCACTCGACCCAAATTGTTGTCTTTCAATGTATTAAAATGTATTTATTATAATAGAATTATATAAATTGAATAAATTTAAACCATATGAGACTCGAACACAAGTTCTCCTCAACATAAATAATGGTTCCCAACCACTAGGGCCACTACTAATTCTTTGGAATAAATTGCATTATATTATATTTAATATTTACCTTCAAAATTCAATCAACCTGATTTTTTAACCAGTTAAACTATCAAAATTGTGAACTAAAGGTCAAAATGGTTCAACCTTCAATTTGGTTTTGAGAACAATGATCCTTAGTTCCCTTTGTTAAGGGAGTGATTCAACAACCTTTGGGGTCCATTTGGTTCATGGAAAATTATTTCCAAAAGTCGTTTGCTCCATTTTCTTGTCCTTGAGAGTTATCTTGAAAACTAGTCGACAAAAAATACCATTGGTTTTTTTCGAAATCAACTTCTAGGAATTTTTTCAAGAAGTTGTTTTCCTTTGAAAACACATTTGAAAACACATGGATCTAAAGATCTGAAATTGTCAAATCAAGTGGCTTTTAGCACCCATTTTCAATCAAGAAGTTCAAAACAATAGTGCTCCGTTGGGTTCAATTAAAGTGACTTTTGATTGAGTGCTTTCACAAATTTTGCTGGCATAATGGTGGTGGCTGGGGCCAACACTATTTTATGAAAATTAAACATGTGGTTTCAACATAATATTTGCATTTAATTTAAAATTAATTAATTAACAATAGATAAAATAACTCTCTTTATATTTAAACCATTTGCATTTTTGTTATATGCTCAATGTGAAGTTTTTCCATTTAACATGTTGTCTTGTCAAGTTGTTGAATAAAAAAATTCCACATCAAATATATAACAAAAAAATATGTTGGTTAAATATGTGAATTACTCCATTTATTGTCAATTAAATTTAAATTAGATGTAAATTTTGTATTAAAACTTACATAGCTAATTTTCACACGTTACCTCCTCGTTTGCACTTCTAAAACAAAACTTAAGTATTTCTCATCAAAGAAAAACTCTCGTAATATAGCAATATTCCATTGCTTTAGAATCATATCAACAACATGCTAAGCCGTCTAGAGCTTCTGTGCCTTTGAATGGGACAACCACCATAAGGTCCTTGATCTCCGAGGTATTTCGAAGAAGAAGACAAATACACCTCTCCAATTTGAGCTTACGAAGAAGAAGGTAAAGATAGATAGCAAATCAAAGCCGGCGTGACTGACTTTGGATTAAAGCCAACTTTAGTCCTATACTTTTGTAAAAATGTTCATTACCATTCCTATACTAAGGAAATGTTCAATGCCATCCCTCTACTTTCCTTAGAGCATAAATGTCATCTCTCTAGTACACATTTTTTTGTTCAATGTCACCCTTAATTGCATGCCATCCACATTTCTATTAACTTTGACAATTAATTGATCAACAATCAATTGTTTAACTTTTGTTTATTAATTTTATGTTCACCTAGTGGGATTAGTGGGACCAATTCCTTTTTTTTTTTTTTCTAGTTCTGTATTATTCCTTTTGGTTTTAATCCCTAAATTAACGGAATCCATTAATTTTTCATTAAAGTGAGAATAAAATAGTTATAGGGTCAATTCTCAAAAATTAAAAATGTAACAATTTAATTATAAAAGTTTTAAAATTAAAAAAATATATATTAAATTAAAAAAATAATAAATGACTTTTTCACATATACTAGAATAGGATTTGATATTTAAAATCAAATTGAGTGGCTAGCTTAATTTGAAAAAAAAAAAATTCTAACTAAGACTAAAGAAAATTTCTTATCTAAATTAAGATGGAAAATTCAAGACACTAGAAAAATATGGCCAAGAAATTTTCTTTAATCGTAGTCAATTTTCTTTCTCTAGATTGAGCTAATCACTTGATTTAATTGTAGATATCTAACACTATTTTCACGTATGTGATAAAATCATTTATTAATTAGTTTTAATTTTTAAACTTTTGAAACTAAATTATTATAATTTTAATTTTTGAAGACTGATTTTATAAATATTTTATTTTCATTCACTACTAGAATTAGGGTCTTATTCGGTCAAGCATATTGACCGAATAAGTATGAATTTTGATCGAATAAGAAGTAATTCTGTCAAATTGCTTGATCGAATTATTAATCCAAATATCCATGGTACGAAATAGTAATTCGGATAAATTTTCATCTTAACCAAAAATGTTGGACAATTTCGGTCAAAAAATTTGATCAAAAATATTATTAGGAAATCTGTTATTTTAAACTATTTCGATCAAAATATTTGACCAAAAATGTTATTAAAAAATATTTTATTTTAGACTATTTCGGTCAAATTTTTTGACCAAAATATCATTTTCAAATTAAAAAAATAATAATATATTTGTGCAATTATAATATACATATAATTGCTTTTTTTATTATTACAAAATACGTTTAATTAATAAATAAGAATCTATTTATTTTATCCAAATTCAAATATATCAAAATTTTAAATTGAATATTATACAACAAGAATCACAATTCTATAAAAATATTTAAATTTCAGCTAAATGGTGGAAAATTAATTACTAATCTTTTTTTTTTAAGTTTCTCCATCCCTTAACACCAAAAAATAGTTAATCACAAATTACAAACTAAGTGGGAAACTTAATGAAAAAGAAAAAATTATAAAATTTTAATGAAATATAAACAATAAAAAAAGTACCAAATGAGATGCCTCCTTAAAATGTCTTTAATTTTTATTATAAAATCCTGCAAAAAAATAAAACTGATATCAATATTAATTGAAACAAACTTGTAAATTGTAAAAGAAATAAACTAATAAGATTAAAATTAAAGGAAGAAAGAAAATGAGAGAAATTTAAGGAGATGAAACTAAAGGAAGGAATGTATGGGGAAAAAAGAATGTGAGAAAATGGAAGAGAGGATGAGAAGCATGAATGAAAGAACAGGGAAAGTGAAGAAAATGGAAGATGAGAAAAAGGAAGAAATGAAAGAAAATGATGGAAGGAAAGAAAATAAGGAGGGGAAGTAATTAAAAGGAAGAGAAAGACGAGAAATATGGGTGTAAAAGATGAAATGAATGAAAAAGCAGAAAGAAGGAAGAAGAAAATGTGTAAAATATAATTTAAAGTGCCTAAAGTGTTTAGACTATTTCGGTCAAAATTTTTGACCGAAATAATTTTGGCAAATAATTCAAAATGTTTTGCTTGATTTGTGGAGCCAAAACAATAATTTCGTTTAAGAATTTTAGCCGAAATAATTTTGGCAAAAAATTTAAGAAATTTCACTTAACTCTTGAAGCCAAAACAATATAATTTCGGTCAAGATTCTTGACCGAAATAGTTTAAATTAAAAAAATTTAGGAAAGAGAGCGCCATAGTAATATAATTATAAAAGGAGACAATTATTTCGGTCAAAATACTTGACCGAAATAGTTTTCTAGAAAATTAAAAAATATATTTAAGAAAGAGAGTGCAATACTAATACAATTAAAAAAAAAAAAAAGAGAGTTATTTTCGATCAATATGCTTGACCGAAATAATATCATAGAAAATTTAAAAAATTTAAGAAAGAAAGCGTCATAATAATTTTCTATAGAAATTTTTTTTTTAAAAAAAAAAAGGAAGATAGTTATTTCGGTCAAGTCTTTTGACCGAAATAGTTTCATAGAAAATTTGAAAAAAGGAGACAATTATTTTGGTCAAAATTTTTTACCAAAAAATATAGCTAAATTAGAACAAAAATTACTTAATTAATTCGGTCAAAATTTATGACCAAAATGTTTACTATTTTATTATTAATATAATTCAAATAAAATACTTGATTGAATTAATGATAACGCCAATTGGTGCTCTTTTATTTTGGTCAATATATTTGACCGAAATAATTTTAAATCGAATTATTATGTTAAATACCTTTTAATCAGACTAAAGTATATTTCGGTCAAAATTTTTACCGAATTAAGTCTTTTTTCAGTCTAGATATTTTTTTGTCCGAAATATTTTATCCGAAATAAAGTTTTTTTTCTAATAGTAGAGAGTTAATGGATTCCGTTAGTAGACAAAAAATTAATAAACAAACGTTAAATGTTTGATTGTAACTTTGTAAGGTAATTAACTGTTAAAGATAATGAAAATGTAGATGACATCCAATTAAGGGTGACATTAAAAAAAGAAAAGTATAGTAGAGGGATGATATTTATGCTGTAAGGAAAGTAGAGGGATGAAATTGAACATTTCCTTGGTTGAGAGATGGTAATAAACATTTTACGAAGTTTGAGGACTTGAATTGACTTTAACGCGACTTACATTTTCATTCATGCCCGCCGATAACGACTTTTTCTTTCACAGCCGCCCATAACAAACTTCCATTATTCTATGTTCTCACTATTGGTCCCAATTCCCACGGTGATGACCATTACAAACGCACGGAAAAGATAGAAATGTTTTTTTGAACTGTTATAATTTTTCTTTTTGGACATAATTACAATCGGGGAGGGGATAAGGGGCTAAGGTAAAAAGAATTTGTAGGTCTGGAAACAACCATTTATGGAGATAATTTCACTAACTCAACGTCAATAGCACTGGGCTGACTGTGTGAATCTTTTGAACTGTCATAATTTGAAGTGGAGGAAAGATATATTTATATAATTTTATTGTATTTTAAATTTTGATACTAACTAAGATGCTAGGTGTAAGGCCTGGTGCAGATGGATGATATTTTGGGCAGCCTAAAACAGGCAAAATGTCAACCAGGAAAAAAAAAACCAAAAAAAAAAAAGAAAAAAAGAAAAGAAAACGAAGCAAGAGCAAAATGCAGGGGCAAGAGATTAAAAATATGTTTAGTGAAACTCGTAAAAAGTTTTTTTTTGTACTAATTATGAGTGATAAGTTTAAATTTTTATTGAAAGTAAAATTTAAAAGTTATTTTTAAAAAT